CCCCCCCCACGAGGCACAAACCTGCTCCCACTGCTTCCAAGAAGAATGGACTGCTAACTTTTGGGGAAGGAATACCAAACCCCTTACCCTTCCCTGCTGGATAGATAACAGCAAGGGAAAACCCCAACTGTAGCACATGAAAGCTTCAAACCAATGATCTTCCTGTGAATCTATGGATTAAGCAGTAGGTTTTGACTGTTAGTAATCCAGAAGTGTTCTTTTCCTGATTCTGACAGGTTTACATTTTCCCATTTTCAGAGAGGTCTCTCTCCTTTTTTAAGTGTATGGAGACTGAGGCAAACAACAGGAGCAACTGCCTGAGCAAACTGGCTGAGAAAGGGAAACCGAAGCAGACCACCAAGTGCTGTCAAATGTTGAACCCGAACAGAGTGAAAAATACATATATCTTCCACTGACATCTTCAGGTCGAATTATTATCCCAGTTCACTGCAACAGCAAGGTAAAGAACAACTTCAGGAGGAGTTTAACACTGGTAACATTGCTTTTCAGGGCTACTAACTTTACCTTCAGAGCACGCCCCGTAATAGTCAGAACCAGAGGGTTAAGACTAGCCATTTTGAAAAGACAACTGCCCTACTCGGCGATGTTACAGCTGCATCTAGAGGGAAACACCAGCTTTGGTTTCTACGTGGAATACCCAGGTTCCCTCCCACAGAAATGCAAGCGCTTGTCCAGCCTACTTGCGCTGAAAGGAAGGAAAAGGAACCAGCATGCAGCAAAATTCCAAGCCTGGTTATTCTGAGGGTAGCTCAGCTTGCTGCTTCTTGGAAGGCATTTCCCGTCCTTGCATGCGCTACTGTAAAGGCTCACTGGATTCCTCGTGCCTCCAGATCTCAAAGAACACAGCGAAATGAGACGCACATCATCCAGGCTCGAGAGCAGGAACCCCAGGCTGCTACGCTCTGCTGGGTCCGGGGTACAGTCAGCCATACACGTCGCTTGCTCTCCACCAGGAGGTGTTTGGTACCTACCGACTGAGAGTCTTTTGTCCGTGTGCAGCAAAGAAAAACTTTGAGTCTGCGTGTCCAGCTGCTGGCTTGCCCTTCTTCCAGGCGGTGTCTATAAATAAAGGGTAGAGTATGCACATGAGGACAGGCAGGAGAACTCGACTGCAGACAAACAGTAGGATTCACTACAAAGCCACGCAGCTTATGCTGTCACTGGTAAAATGTGTGCTAAACCACATTCTTATATTTATCCTGGTCTAGCAGAGACAAGGAAACCACATATAGATTTAAAAACTGGGCTCAATTTATAGGATGGGAAGGTCATTCATAATCTAGCTGTTCTGGCCAGGACCAAGCCTCTGTATTGATATACACAGTGTCCTGTCTGAATGGGATGGCCATAACGAAGCTCCTGGTGATCTACAATACCTGCTGGAAGCAAGATGTCCAAGACCTGGTACTCCTGATGGAAGGAGGGTCTACTGGGCCGCTGCATCATGCCCTAGGGTGTACTGCCACTCAGGAGGAAAGCCCTACCTCGGGGTGAGGGGGTGGGAACGGTACAAAAGGCCCCGAGCACTTAGTATGAGAGGAGCTGGGCAATTTTTTTCCCAATAAATAGCTTACTTGGAAAAGCGTATTTTCTTAAACATAACGCCGTCTCAGAACTGAAGCAATTTGCACCCTTTGTTCAAGTACGGCGCATAACTCGCATTGAAACCAGGAAAGCAAGCTAAAGGTTCTCTTTCAATTAGAAAAGGTTCAAAAAAAGAAGGGCTGAATGCAGAAGGTTTGGCTCAACCCACATGTGGTTTATATGACATTTCAGTTTCAGCCTCAAAATTAGCTAATTGGACAACCCTATTTGAAACAAACTATCATAGAATCATAGAATGTTTTGGGTTGGAAGGGACCCCTAGAGGTCATCTAGTCCAACCCCCCTGCAGGAGCAGGGACACTGCTAACTAGATCAGGTTGCTCAGAGCCCCGTCCAACCTGGTCTTGAATGTTTCCAGGGATGGGGTCTCCACCACCCCTCTGGGCAACCTGTTCCAGTGTTTCACCACCCTCATTGTAAAGAATTTCTTCCTTATATCTAGTCTAAACCTACCCTGGTTTAGTTTAAAACCATTACCCCTTGTCCTGTCACAGCTGGCCCTACTAAAAAGATTTTCCCCATCTTTCCTATAGGCCCCCTTTAGGTACTGAAAGGCCGCAATCAGGTCTCCCCACAGCCTTCTCTTCTCCAGGCTGAACAAGCCCA